AATTAATTCCAATACAATTAACCCAAGACGATGTTCCAATTCCCTTATGCTACCCATCACAGAAAAACTGCAGCTCTAAAGTGAAAATAATCATGGCTTTAATGAGAAATGGTTTCAACATTTCATAAAGGAACTCCAAATATCTCTTTAGCTACTATTTTAAGTCAGTGCCATCAATACCAGATAAGGAAAAGATCAAAAAGTATAAACGTGTATTGAAGTCAGACCTCAGCTGGGATGTTACTGCATATCCTCTTCCCTGTAACATCCCATAGCAACTGCTCTGAAAGGCACAAAGAAACAAACCAAGAAACAACACAAAAACCCCTGTAAAATTCTCAAGCACCCAGAATCTCAAAGTAGTGCACAGTGTAACAAGGCAGGCTCAACTTGCTGTTTTCTTAAATGTGCAGAATTAAAACTAAAAGAAAGCTGCTACTGCAAACATCTGCTCAGCCACACTAAGCAGCAGAAACTCAGCTGAGGGCCAGGAGGCATCAAGTGGGAGCGGGAACAAGCTCGGCCCTGTGCAAGTAACTGTGCCTCTGTTACAAGAATGGTACTAGTGGTGCTAGGGCAGCTGCAGCAGTTCCTGCAGCAACCTTACTTGATTAATAGCTGCACAAATGCAGCAAAATTGTCACCTGAATAAGGACACACACACACACACACACAAAAAAAAAGCTGTTTGCAGCTGTTCAGGAGGAGAATAGCCACTGCACATTCATCTTAGGCAACATAGAAAGAGCCAATAGTTACAGGCAAGTTGACTTCAACCAGAGAAACTAAACTATATGCCTCTCAGGGAGGGGCATTAAAACTTTGAACGATCTTAGAGCCAGATAACAGAGTTTGATACAGATTGTGTGTCCGAGCATTCATTGTGCTGGCACAGAACCTGTTACATCTCCGCAGCAGCAGAAGATAGATTTCAGTACCGACCCTGCATTAAGACTGGTCCCTGGAACAAGGGAAGAAGCTTTCTTCTGCAGTGGAAAACGAGGCTTTCCTTGTTGCTTGATTACCCTAGGCTCTCTTCAGTTCTTGCAGTAATCTCAGTGCAGCTGTGTTCTTTGGTTCAGTTTTCAACAAGTTCTTGATATCGGCAATACTTGATTTGTAATCCTACAAGGAGAATGTTTTTGAAGTTAGTGCATTCAAAATGCAGTCTAAGGCTGCAGAATTACTATCCAGCAACCGAGGCAAAGGCCTGTGACTGTAATTGCATAAGCACTGAGGTAGCTGTTCTACAACACACTTAAATCAGACAACTTCAGCACTTAAGTGGGTTCCAAGTCCAACACAAAAGCAATATGTCATCTAGTATTGCCTACAGAATCTCTCACCAGACAGAAGAAGATAAAGCTCATGTAGCTACTCACAGCATCTCTAGAAACAGGACCCAGAGCTGAGAAACTCCCGAGATGCAAACAGCAAATAGCTATGCAAAAGAAAATTCCCCCTCAGTCTATGCAGGTTCTTGGCTACCTGATTGCAGATGTTGTCTAGCACAGAAACAAGTTCTGAAGGGCATCTCTGGCCTTGATCACGCAGGAGCAGGCTTCTAGTCCTACCCTAAAACTGTTCAAAAACCCCCAACTTACCTTCAGTTCTTTAAACGCTTGAGCACGTCTGTAGAGTGCCTTGACGTTTTTAGGATCTAATCTCAGAGCTTCTGTGCAGTCCTGTACTGCGTCCTGGTATCGCTTCAGAGTCAGGTAGCAGAGAGCTCTGCAACACAGATCCCTGCTTAGAGACCCTTGGCTAAAGGCAGCACGTGTGCTGCAACGTAAGGAGCCGATCTCAGCCAACCCCAGTGCAGCACAAAGCTGGGCTCCAAAGCCACTCTTTATCCTTGTGACGTTATGTCATCTTACTTCCTGAGCTCAAGTTTGTTTCAGTTAAAAGGAGGGAAAAAAGGAAACAGTTTTTCAGTATGAAGAAAGGAGAGGATTTTTAAAGCAACCTACTCTAAAGCTAAACCGCTACGTTTCAAGGATGCGGGTTCCTATCTATATCAGTCCAAAATACACCCTGCTTGCTGCAGCTGCCTTAGAAGTCCTTTGAGTCTGTAAGTACAGCAGTCTGCAGTTCGGGGTTTGTGGGGCAGCAGACACTACTCAAAATACCACAGCCCTGGCAGACAAGCATTCAAGGGAGAAATCCCTTAGCAGCCCTAAGCTGAGCGTCTCCAAGGGCTTTTGCAGTACCTGATCAAAGAACATTATACAAACTACAGGGAAGACTGCACTTGGGGTGAACATGAGTGGATGTTTTTGTTTTATTCATTTGTTTGGGAGCAAACATTAGATAGCTCTGTCAGAAGTCCCACAGTGGCTTGTACAGAGGGCCAAGAAATAGCTGGGCAAAGAGTTTAGTAGTACCTGTTGGTGTAAGTCGCACAATCCTGGCTGAGCTTTAAACTCTCACTGTACTTCTCAACTGCTTTTTTATGGTTTCCTTTCTTTACAAGTTCATTTCCTTCTTCCTTCAGTTTTCGAGCTCTCTCTGTGCCAGCAGCAGCCTGGTCTAGAAACAGCGTGAAAGAATACAGAAGGCTATAAAACCGACAACATCAGCGCAGCCTCTCAGAAGGCAAATATCCCTGTGTCAAAGGTGAGACACAGAGACATCAAAGGGCCCAGAATCAACCAAAATAAGGCTGTGGCAGAACCAGGCCCAGGTTTCTCCAGGCCTCAGCCCCAGCCGCAGACACGCCAAGCAGGCATGGCAGCTGTCTTGTTCCTCACCCTTCTGAGCTACAGGGCTCTGTGCCCGGCTCATGGGCACGCTCTCACCTGGTTTTCCCCTTGGTGCAGTTGCAGCAGGAGCATTTGCCCCAGAGGCTCCAGCAGAAGGAACGCTCCACCTCATCTGGGCAGAAACGGGGACTGTGGGGATTGGCGGGAGCTTCTGGCGCCAGTTCACGCCATCCTTCTCCAGCAAGGCTTTAGTCATCCTGGAAGAGACGGCTCACCGTCCGGGTGACGGAAGAGACAGTCACCCTGTCTGCTGGCTGGATGGCCCATGCAGCAGCCAGTTGGGTCACTTCTTAACCTGGCTGGTGTATCAAGGACAGCATCTCTCTACTAACCCCTTTACATGCATCTAAATAAAGTTCCTTCTACAGACTGGGCATGAGAGAAAGGGCCTTCTTCATGTCAGCAGGCCTAAAAGCAGCCCAGGACAAGGGCTGGGCCCGTCAGTGCTCAGGCAAGCAAGAGGTGCGCACGTCGCTCCTCGGCGGGGAAGCGGTGAAGGGAAGCAGGCAGCGCCAGGAAGACACAAGTGCTGCAGCAGCCTGGAAGCGCAGTCAGCACAGGGAGGCTTAAAGGATGGGGCACCAGAACCCGTAGCTCATTATTTCCTTTAAGCCAAGCACCAGGCAAAGCAGAAACAGTCCCGGGGCACTCA